AACGGGTTACCTGCTTCAGGTGACAATAGCGAAACATGGAATACTGGATGGATATTCATAGAGCGGGGAAGCTCTAGCTCATAAGCATAGGGATTGACGATTCGTTTGATACTGTAAGGGCGAATCCGTTTCCAGTCGAGTTTCTTGGAGGGTCGTTTTGTCAAAACATGGCGCGTCGATAGGAAAACTTTATCTCCGATGCGATAACGAGGGGCGGGAGAACGGTTTAGATTGGCTGATTCCTCTTGTACCTTTTGTGACCGAAACATTTCGCTCTTCAGGAATTCTACCATATCCTTCATTTCTTTTGCAATGCTATTGGCCTGATCTTCCGCTGTCGTTTTGCCATGTTCCAAGGGGCCAAAAGTCATCCGTGGATTTCTTCCCAAATTGGCATAGAAAGGAGAGACCTTTGGTGTTTCCGACACATGATTATTTGCTGCAAACTCAGTCATTGCCAATAGTCGGACCCAATCATCTTGTTGATAAGAAACATAACTTCGAAGATACTGTTCCATTACGGCATTGATCCTTTCAGTTTGTCCATCAGTTTGAGAGTGGAAGGCGGTGGAGAATCGTGGGGATATTTCCAGGCGTTTGCAAAGCGACTTCCAAAATTCTGCAACAAATTGTGTTCCTCTATCGGACACGACAGTATCAGGTAGTCCATGTAGCTTCCAAACATTATCGATATACAGCCTCGCTACTGCTTTCGAATCCACCTCTTTAGTCGTTGGTATCAAATGTCGCATTTTAGTTAGTCTATCAACAACAACTAGGATCGCAGTATATCCATCACTCTCAGGGAGGTCAGTAACAAAATCCATCGAAACATCCGTCCATGGCCCATCAGGTATTGGCATTGGGCGAAGTACTCCATAAGGCGCATTGCGTGGTGCCTTGCTACGGGTACACAGATTGCAATTCCGAACGTATAAATCGACATACTTCCGCATTTGTGGCCAATAATACTCTCGACTTAAGAGTTCCAATGTCTTTGCTCTACCCGGATGGCCTGCTGATGGTTTATCATGATATTCTTGTAGGAGCCTCAGCCGGAGGTCATTATCATTTGGTACATAGAGTGCGCCTCGATAAAGTAGCCGACCATTATTGTCTTCCGTACATTCGGCAAGTGAAATTTTATTAGAACGGCGAACGTCACTCCGAAGCATCACGAGGATTTCGTTTGGGAAACTATCAACTTGGTAAGCTTTTGAAAATAACTCCTCCACAGTGGACATTCCTTCAGCGGATTCATTTGATAAAGAACCCGCGAACAAACTTAGCTTTCAATCCAAATTTTTTCTCTTCAGAACCACTTGGCTCTGATGCGTCAACCGTTCATCCCCCTCTTTAGGTAGGTCACCTGACCTTCTAGTCAATGCATCTGGTTTTGCTCCTTGTTTTCCCGGTCGAAATTGTATGACGAAATCGAAACGTGAAAGAAATTCAGACCAACGAGCTTGCCGACGATTTAACAATTTTGTCGTCATGAAATATTCCAGGTTTCAGTGATCGCTGAGAACTTCAATAGGGAATTGTGCTCCTTCTAGATGATGTCGCCACTCTTCGAAACATCGCACAATTGCTAGAAGTTCTTTATCGTAGATTTCGTAGTTACATTCCGCAGGGGAATGTTTCTTGGAAAAGAAAGCCACCGGATGTAAAACTCCCTCATCATCTCGTTGTGATAGAATTCCTGCTGAAACATAGTCGGATGCATCGGTTTCCACCACAATCTTTCGATCCGGATCGAAATGAACCAGTATGGGCGTGGTTGTGAACATCTTTTTCAAAATCTGAAATGCTTCTTCCCTTTCATCTGTCCATTCGAATTTTACATTTTTCTTTGTTAGAGCTGTAAGCGGGGCAACAATTTTTGAATATCCTAGAATAAACCATCGATAAAAATTTGCGAATCCCAAAAATACTTGAACATCATGGAGGTTCATCGGTGTAGACCATTCTAGAACATCGATAACCTTCTTTGGATCCATTCTATTGCCATCTGGGGTGAGGATTAAGCCGAGATATTTCGTTTCTTGAACCATAAATTCACATTTTTCGGGTTTGAGGTGGACATGATTCTCATCAAGTACCCTTAAAACCTTTTGAATACGGTCCTTATGTTCTGCAAGGGATTCGGAATAGATAAGAATGTCGTCTAAATAGGCCGTCACAAATTGATCGAGATAGGGGCGCAGGATGTCATTGATCCAGTGTTGAAACGTAGCCGGAGCATTCGCTAATCCAAAAGGCATTACCGTATATTCAAAGTGTCCATATCGAGTCCGAAATGCCGTTTTCCATTCGTCTCCCTGCGCTATCCTAATTTGATTGTATCCCCAACGTAAATCCAATTTTGTATAATACTTTGCTTTCGACAATTTGGTCAAGGTTTCCTTCAATAATGGTAAGGGGTATCGGTTCTTAATCGTAATTGCATTGAGGCCCCGATAGTCGACACATAAACGAAGAGTTCCATCAGCTTTCTTGACAAATAGTATAGGTGCTCCCGCTGGTGATTCACTATGGCGGATAATTCCCTTGGGTAGGTTCTCTTGAAGGTAGTCCCAAAGTGCCTTCAACTCTGTTTGAGATAAAGCATATATTGGTCCCCATGGTGGTTGTTTGCCTTCTTCTAATACTATCTTCATATCATGGAACGGTCGATGTGGCGGAAGCGCTGAAGCATCATATTCCTCAAACATGTGGATATAGCGGTGGAACTCCCTCGGTATTAGTTGTTTAATATCGATAGTAGGTTTCTCGGTCGCTGAGACGGTAACGGTATGGGTTTCAGGTAGGGGAATTGATATACCATGAACCGTAATTGCAGTTCCACTAAGCGAGCAATGTTGACAGCAGCTTTGAGAGTCGAAGATAAGCAAATTTTCCTTCGGTCGAATCGTAACATCATGGCGTCGCATCCAAGGTATCCCCATCACGATCGGATAGTGTCCCAACTTTGTCACAAACATGACGCAGTCTCTCGATAGCCATGAATGTCTAGCGAGACATCAACAATGTGAGTAATCTTCCCTGACTTGATAGGTCTGCCGTCTATAACGTACACATGGCGAGGTATTTTGAGGGGGGTCATGGTAAGATTATTGTGGCGTGCAAAAGATTCATCAATAAAAGCATATCCTGATGCTCCGGTATCAATAAGGGCGTAGGTGGGTATAAAAGAATTTTTATTCTGTGAAATCGAACAAGTTACTGCAAATTGGTTCCCATCCATTTCCTCCTCTGATACCGAAAAGCCAGAAATACACATTCTAGGAAAATCTTTAAATGGTCCCTGGGCTAAGCCACTTAGTGCAGGGACAAATCTTTTGCCGACTCATTATCACTCCCATCGTTTTCCTCCACTCTCAATGCCGCTCCCCTCATCACCGGTTTCCTTGGCTGATTTCCAGTTGCCCTTGCTTGAGGGCAATCTCTAACCATGTGTCCAACTCCTCCACAGTAGAAACATCGGCCCTCAGCTAAGCGGGCGTTTCTTTCGGTGGGGGTGGGGCGACGACGTCCCCCAGACAGATCCATTGGTACATCACCTCCCGGGCGAAATGAGGGATGATTCTCAGTATTAGGTACATTGACAACCGGGGCAACGGCACGAGGGGTAGGGGCAGGGTTCGCTGGTGGGGGACGTGGGGTCGGAGCTGCAGTAGTATTCCAAGGCTTTTTACTTCCTCGCTTAGCTTCTGCCGCCCGACGGCGGTTATCCAATCGTTGCAAGAGCGTCGCACATGCATCTACTGTCGCAGGAGTTTCATGGTGTATCATTGATTCATCGAGTTCCGCATTAATACCTTCCATCAGAGCCTCAATCCGAGAGACTTCATCCATCCCTGATTCGGCAGCATACCTTTGAAATTCGGCGAAGTAATCAGCAAAGGTTCGGTTTCGTTGACGGATGTTCCTAAGATTCCTCCTGGCTGTGCGCATTCGATCAGGGTCCCCAAAAGCAGTATCCAAGATCTCATAAAACCGTAACATGGAAGGCAAAGCGATGCCTTCTTCGCCGACGTATTGTAAAAACTGGTTGGCAGCGACTCCTTCCAGTCGACTAAATGCATAAGATAGCTTAGACTGTAGTGTGGGAAAGCGGTCGGCATTTCCCAGTAACTTAATCCTCATCTGTTGTTTGAATAGGTGTAATCTATCTCGATCGCGATCTCCCCTAAACACCTCAGGATCTGGGAGCTTCTCCGACCGTTGGGTAGTAGCCACAACGGGTGGTACTGGAGGCGCAGGTGGGGCATCATCACCACCAATCGGTTCTTCATCAGGGGCAACTACCTCAACAGCGACCCGTCGAGTTCGAGCAGCAGCGAGGTCTCGTTCGAACATCTCCCTTGCATTTCCAGCCTCTCTCTCCACTTCCTGTAAATCCGTTGCATATTGAGCAAGGCCGTGTTGGGCACGTTGAAGAAGTGCGTAAGCTTCTATTCCGACATTATTATCGACCTGGGGGTGCTCTTGGAAAAAGGTTTGAAGGGCATCGCTTAGTTGCTGATAATCAACAGGGACGTGTTCCGACATTGTAGACTATGGTGTTGTATTGGTTGGCAATAGAGGACGGAACCTTATTGTAACGGGGGCCTATGGGCGTAGGGACTATAGTGCCAAGGAATACAACCGAGGCGAAGACGTAGCAATAGGTATTCTTGGCTATGGACTATGGGATGGTTCTACCTGGTATGACAAACCAGTCGAACCCTATGAGGAGGCGTAGGACAAACGTAGTATTCGTGGAGTAAATACAAAGGTTCCATGAAGAGAAAAGGAAAGGAAGAGAAACAGGAAAGGACACGAGACAACGCCCCTTTATATATCCAACTCCTAGTCCGTTGATGACTAATACTTCGCATAACGGAAACCGAAAGAATATAACAGAAACCTCATTACAAATCCTCGTTCAATTACGCAACCACTCCCCACGACCCAATCTATCGTCTTAGTCGAGATACAATATTGCCGTTACAACCATGGCGGCACATCTCCCTATTGATTATCAACAGCTAAGCGATGCCCTTCAGACCTTCTTTCAAGAACATCCAGAGGTGGATGGCAATGTTGGAATAGAAGCCCATGCACTTCTTCAATGGGCACAACATGGCCTTGCTCAGTATGCAACGGACTTACAGGAGGTGGAGAGGGAGGCTGGAATTGCGAGGGAAATGTTTGAGCGAGATCTAGCCGCTGCCAGGGGCCACCGAGTTGCGGTCGAAGTGGTTACCCCTGATGAAGAATCAATCGGAGATGATAATGCCCCACCGGTACCTCCGGTCCCACCTGTCCCAGTGGTTACCCAACGGTCGGAAAAACTCCCAGACCCTGAAGTGTTCAGGGGAGATCGCGATCGAGAAAGACTACACTTATTCAAGCAACAGATGAGGATCAAGCTATTGGGAAATGCCGACCGCTTCCCCACACTACAGTCCAAGTTATCTTATGCGTTCAGTCGACTGGAGTGCGTTGCCGCCAATCAGTTCTTACAATATGTCGGAGAAGAAGGCATCGCTTTGCCTTCTATGTTACGGTTTTATGAAATCTTGGATACTGCTTTCGGGGACCCAGATCGAATGCGTACGGCTAGGAGGAACCTTAGGAATATCCGCCAGCGAAATCGAACCTTTGCTGACTATTTCGCCGAATTCCAACGGCATGCTGCCGAGTCAGGAATGGATGAAGTCTCTAGGATTGAGGTGCAAGAAATGGACAACGCGGGGGTTGTGCGGAAGGACACAATAGTGGTTAAACTATTAAGTCGTCACCCTAATTTCGAGTCGGGGAGAATTCAAAGAATTTAGACGAGAGACGAGAGCGGGAAAGCTAGGTTCCAATGTCTATATTATATGTATCGCTTGATTGACCAAGTCAGAAGAAAGAGAAGAACAGCCCGATATTTATACAAGAACCGTGTTCCTTCCGACCAAGAAAGAAAAGAGAACTAAACAGGTGGGAAAGCCATTTGACCCTGAGAAACTGCCAAGAAGTATGGAAACAGATAGAAAAGTGTCGGTTCCGTAAGCGTCCGATCACGTATATAAGTATATGACTCAATGTTCCAACATAGGAAAGTAATACCCGAGATGACAACCCATATGTAAAGTAGAAACGTAATAGGAACCCAAAAGAAAATAGTTAACGGTATAAACCCTGTATTCCTTATCAAATGACTCGTAATGAAATGTATGGAGATAGACAGATATTAACGAAGTAAATGAAAGAAACAAAGTTCACCGTAAATTCCAACATGAGGCTTTGATGGAGGGTATTAATGCGGAACTCGATGAATCGATGATACAACATGAAACTCCTGCAACAGTAGATGCCTGCGCGACACTTTTGCAACGGTTAGATAATCGACGACGAGCGGCAGAAGCTAAGCGAGGAAATAAAAAGCCTTGGAATGCTACTGCTGCTCCGACCCCTCGCCCCCCACCAGGGAATCCTGCCCCTATTCCTCGCGCTGCCGCCACAGCTGTCAATGCACCTGCCCCTGAGAACCACCCCTCATTCCGCTCGGGAGGTGATGTACCGATGGATCTGTCCGGGGGACGTCGTCGCCCCACCCCCACCGAAAGAAATGCCCGCTTAGCTGAGGGCCGATGTTTCTATTGTGGAGGAGTCGGACATATGGTTAGGGATTGTCCTCAAGCAAGGGCAACTGGAAATCAACCAAGGAGACCAGTGATGAGGGGAGCGGCGTTGAGGGTGGAGGAAATTGACGGAAGCGATAACTAGTCGGCAAAAGATTTGTCCCTGCACTAAGTGGCTTAGCCCAGGGACCATTTAAGGATTTTTCTAGGATGCATATTTCTGGGTTTTCGGTATCTGAGGAGGAAATGGATGGGAACCAATTTGTAGTAACTTGTTCAATTTCACAGAATAAAAATACTTTCGTACCCACCTACGCCCTTATTGATACCGGAGCCTCAGGATATGCTTTCATCGATGAATCTTTTGCACGCCACAACAATCTCACCATGACCACACTCAAAATACCACGCCATGTAGATGTTATAGACGGCAGACCCATCAAGTCAGGAAAGATTACTCATATTGTTGATGTCTCGCTAGACATTCATGGCCATCGAGAGACTGCATCATGTTTTGTGACAAGGTTGGGACACTATCCGATTGTGATGGGGATACCTTGGATGCGACGCCATGACGTTACGATTCGACCAAAGGAAAATTTACTTATCTTTGACTCTCAAAGCTGCTGTCAATATTGTTCGCTTAGTGGAACTGCAATTACGGTTCATGGTATATCAATTCCCCTACCTGAAACTCATACCGTTACCGTCTCAGCGACCGAAAAACCTACTATCGATATTAAACAGCTAATACCGAAGGAGTTCCACCGCTATATCCACATGTTTGAAGAATATGACGCTTCAGCGCTTCCGCCACATCGACCGTTCCATGATATGAAGATAGTATTAGAAGAAGGCAAACAACCACCATGGGGACCAATATATGCTTTATCCCAAACCAAGTTGAAGGCACTTTGGGACTACCTTCAAGAGAACCTACCTAAGGGAATTATCCGCCATAGTGAATCACCAGCGGGAGCACCTATACTATTTGTCAAGAAAGCTGATGGAACTCTTCGTTTATGTGTCGACTATCGGGGCCTCAATGCAATTACGATTAAGAACCGATACCCCTTACCATTATTGAAGGAAACCTTGACCAAATTGTCGAAAGCAAAGTATTATACTAAATTGTATTTACGTTGGGGATATAATCATATCAGGATAGCGGAAGGGGACGAATGGAAAACGGCATTCCGGACTCGATATGGACACATTGAATATACGGTAATGCCTTTTGGATTAGCGAATGCTCCGGCTACATTTCAACATTGGATCAATGACATCCTACGCCCCTATCTCGATCAAGTTGTAACAGCCTATTTAGACGACATTCTCATCTATTCCGAATCCCTTGCAGAGCACAAGGACCATATTCAAAAGGTTGTAAAGGTACTTGATGAGAATCATGTCCATCTCAAACCCGAAAAATGTGAATTTATGGTTCAAGAAACGAAATATCTCGGCCTAATCCTCACCCCAAATGGCAACAGAATGGATCCAAAGTAAGTCATTGATGTTCTAGAATGGTCTACACCGACAAATCTTCATGATGTTCAAGTATTTTTGGGATTTGCAAATTTCTATCGACGGTTTATTTTAGGATATTCAAAGATTGTCGCCCCGCTTACAGCTCTAACGAAGAAAGATGTTAAATTCGAATGGACGGATGAAAGGGAGAAAGCATTTCAAACCTTGAAGGAGATGTTTACAACGGCACCTATACTAGTTCATTTCGATCCGATTCGAAAGATTGGAGTGGAAACCGATGCTTCCGACTATGTTTCGGCAGGGATTCTATCACAACGTGATGATGAGGGAGTTTTACATCCGGTAGCTTTTTTTTCCAAGAAACATTCCCCTGCGGAATGTAACTATGAAATCTACGATAAAGAACTTCTAGCAATCGTACGATGTTTCGAAGAGTGGCGACATCATCTAGAAGGAGCACAATTCCCTATTGAAGTCCTCAGCGATCACCGAAATCTGGAATATTTCATGACGACAAAATTGTTAAATCGTCGACAAGCTCGTTGGTCTGAATTTCTTTCAAGTTTCGATTTGGTTATACAATTTCGACCGGGAAAACAAGGAGCAAAACCGGATGCATTAACTAGAAGGTCAGGTGACCTACCTAAAGAGGGGGATGAACGGTTGATGCATCAGAGCCAAGTGGTTCTGAAGAGGAAAAATTTGGATGCAAAGCTAAGTTTGTTCGCGGGTTCTTTATCAAATGAATCCGCTGAAGGAATGTCCACTGTGGAGGAGTTATTTGCAAGAAATAGACAACTCGGGGTTGTGCGGAAGGACACAATAGCGGTTAAACTATCAAGTCGTCAACCTGATTTCGAGTCGGAGAGAATTCAAAGAATTTAGACGAGAGACGAAAGCGGGAAAGCTAGGTTCTAATGTCTATATTATATGTATCGCTTGATTGACAAAGTCAGAAGAAAGAGAAGAACAGCCCGATATTTATACAAGAACCGTGTCCCTTCCGGCCGAGAAAGAAAAGAGAACTAAACAGGTGGGAAAGCCATTTGACCCTGAGAAACTGCCAAGAAGTATGGAAACAGATAGAAAAGTGTCGGTTGCGTAAGCATCCGATCACGTACGTAAGTATATGACTCAATGTTCCAACATAGGAAAGTAATACCCGAGATGACAACCCATATGTAAAGTAGAAACGTAATAGAAACCCAAAAGAAAATAGTTAACGGTATAAACCCTGTATTCCTTATCAAATGACTCGTAATGAGATGTATGGAGATAGACAGATATTAACGAAATAAATGAAAGAAACAAAGTTCACCGTAAATTCCAACATTATTTTCAAAAGCTTACCAAGTTGATAGTTTCCCAAACGAAATCCTCGCTATGCTTCGGAGTGACGTTCGTCACTCCAATAAAATTTCACTCGCCGAATCTACGGAAGACAATAATGGTCGGCTACTTTATCGAGGCGCACTCTATGTACCAAATGATAATGACCTCCGGCTGAGGCTCTTACAAGAACATCATGATAAAGTATCGGCAGGTCATCTGGGTAGAGCGAGACTTTGGAACTCCTAAGCCGGGAATATTATTGGCCACAAATGCGGAAGTATGTCGATCAGTATGTTAGGAATTGCAATGTGTGTGTCCGTAGCAAGGCACCACGCAATTCACCTTATGGAGTACTTCGCCCAATGCCAATACCCGATGGACCATGGATGGATGTTCGATGGATTTTGTCACTGACCTCCCTGAGAGTGAGGGATATAATGCGATGCTAGTTGTTGTTGATAGATTAACCAAAATGCGACATCTGATACCAACGACTAAAGAGGTGGACTCGCAAAAGGTAGCGATGTTGTATATCGATAATGTGTGGAAGCTACATGGACTACCTGATACTGTCGTGTCCGATAGAGGAACACAATTCGTTGCGGAATTTTGGAAATCACTTTGCAAACGCCTGGAAATATCCCCACGATTCTCCACCGCCTTCCATCCTCAGACTGATGGACAAACTGAAAGCATCAATGCCGTAATGGAACAGTATCTTCGAAGTTATGTCTCTTATCAACAAGATGACTGGACCCGATTATTGGCAATGGCTGAGTTTGCAGCAAACAATCATGTGTCGGAAACAACCAGGATTTCTCCTTTCTATGCCAATTCGGGAAGAAATCCACGGATGACTTTTGGCCCCTTGGAACATGGCAAAACGACAGCGGAAGATCAGGCCAATAGCATAGCAAAAGAAATGAAGGATATGGTGGAATTTCTGAAGAGCGAAATGTTTCGGTCACAAAGGATACAAGAGGAATCAGCGAATCTCAATCGTTCTCCTGCTCCTCGCTATTGTACAGGAGATAAAGTTTTCTTATCGACACGCAATTTCTAACAAAGCGACCCTACAAGAAGTTCGATTGGAAACGGATTGGTCCTTACAGTATCAAACGAATCGTCAACCCCTATGCTTATGAGCTCGAACTTCCCCGTTCCATGAAGATCCATCCAGTATTCCATGTTTCATTATTGTCACCTGAAGCAGGCAATCCATTACCGGACAACAACTATCACCACCACCCCAGTGAGATCGAAGGGGAGGAAGAATGGGAAGTCGAGGACATTTTGGATTCCAGGAAACGCAATGGAAGGTTTGAGTATCTGGTACGGTATGTAGGATATGACGACGCCTCTGGTACCGTTATCGGACCTTAAGCATTCACCCGACATCGTTCGACAATTCCATGAACGTTATCCACGAAAACCTAAGCCTACCAGGAGGTAGGCCTTGGAGGGGGGCGTAATCTGTAACGGCAATATTATTGTTAGAATGATGATTGGATCGTGAAGGGAAGGTATGTGCAGTGAATTAGGATTTGTAATGGGGTTTCTGTTATGTTCTTTTGGTTTCCATTACGCAGTATGAGACATCAACGACTGGAGCTGGATATATAAAGGGGTGTTGTCTCATGCCTTTTCATGTTTTCCTTCCTTTCCTCTTCCTTCACGAACCTCCTGTATCTACTCGCGCCCGACCGCGCGGTGACAGGACCCCCTCCCGTTTCGACATTCTGATTCTCGAATTGCTTCAGACCCTGAGCGAGACGTCCCCCTATCTACCGAGTTGAAGCCTTTTACTAGGAACCGTCCTTCTTTTCACCCCTCCTCAAACACGTCGGCGCCCCCGATCGCGACACCCAAACGACCAGCCCCTCGAGGCTACCCCTCTCTACGTCGTATTGGCACTCTGTCAATAGTCTGGAGGTCAGCGCAGACCCATTGCCAAAGCCTACGATAACCCACGGTGCTAGCGACCTTACGGTCGCGAAACATTCGTTCCTTACCTTACGCGAGGTCCCTTCGTTGGGCCTTACCCCGCTTTACGGCCCTAGCCAGGCAACCCATTCAACCGAGTCGGCTTCCCCGCTCACCCAACCCCATCGGCCCGGTACCACAACCGAGGCCACCCCATTAAGACACGGTCGGCACCCACGACTGCGACCACCCTATATACTATGGAAATCGAGTTCGAAGGTCACCACTGTAAAGACCACCAACAGGTAGCGGCTTACGCTTACCCCATCTACACTTGGCCTCTGTGCCATTCCTCCCACCTTAACTCCCTGCTGCCTGACGAGCAGACTCCCAGGGACCCCATCGACACCCCCTCCCTATGCTTTCGCACCTGATGCTTCGGCGGTCTCTCGCCTCGCCTTCGTGCAGTACTTCCTATATGGCTTCGGTAATGATCCTGGTTTATGGTGAACGGGTATATAGACGATTGACTTTATGTTGTTTGACGGAGAAGCTCTTGGGATTTTATTTCTACTGTAGCGTTGTTACTTTGTTCGTCGCTTAGTTTCTGTTCAGCTACACCATGTCGCGCGATGTTTGTACGTACTTTTCCTTTGTCTTTGGCGGTAGTGTAGGCGTGCGATAAGCCTTTGGCTTCTAAGCAATATAAAATCCAATTCCAATTCCTGTATCTACCCTCGCAACACCAAAACTTTCGAAACGATAAAACTTTTGGCCTGCACTCTCGATAAAACTTTTACTCGAACACGATCCTGTATGTCAATAGACTCCGTAATCTATTGGTATCTTATCGCACATCTGTTCGTACGCGAAGTCATCCACGCTCTAGTCCCTGAGTTGTGAACTTTCTACCCCTCAAGCCCTCGCCTAAGTCTCGCGACCGCAGCGAAACCAACCAACAACCTGGCCTCACCACCCAACCCACCAAACACCGTGGGCAGGAAAAGAACTCTATCAGAAGTCTTCCCAAACCCAACTCGAACCGGAACATCAATCATGTCCAACAAGCCTCTCTGAGCTCCTGGTTTGCAGGAGCCCCCCCCCAGGAACCCCAGCCCCCCCCACGCTTTGCCGACACCCAATCCAGTCAATCCACCCAACAAACACAGTCCACCACGATCGAGCAAACCCAACCCAGCGGCGAACCCTTCTCTATCTTCGCCGAATACACCCAATACAATGAACCATACGCACCAAAGTATGACTACATCCACCCTAGCATCGTCCCCCAAGAAACCCATGCCAGAATGGATCTCAATTACATCTCGTGGGTAATTAGAAATGCCCTCACCGTGGCGCTCGAACCCCTCAACAAGGCAACCGAACAAACCAACAAGAATCTGAAAGCCACCATCGAAGTCCTATCCGTCCAAAATGAATCCCTCAAGCACACCGTCGACACCCTGGCCAAACAAATGTTCGAAATGACAAAGAACCAGGACAAAACATCGAGAAACTCCACCGCCTACAACACCAACTCACCAATCTCTCCATCAACAGGCACAACAACCAAATGGCCGCCGAAGGAAGAACTGCCACAACCACCGCCGCCGTCACCGCTGCCACCATCCCCGCCCCTCCCCCCGCACCCATCAATAACTCGAACCATGCTCAACAACAACCAAAAGGAAAAGGAAAAGAAACACCAATCCCACAAGCACCAAAATCCTACGCATCCATCGCAGCAGGAAACGCCAACCCCGAATACACCATGGTCACAAACAGGAGGAAGCCCAAACCTAAGGTGGACCCACTATTTAAACCAGAAGTCACCAAAATCAACAGGGAAATAGTCATCGAAACAAATAAAGAATCACCAGTCAACCCCTCCGACATCAGAACAAGAATCAACTCAAAAATCGAAAACCCAGACTGCCAGCTTATCGCCGCCAGGAAAACCTCAAAGAACAACATCGTGCTAGAAACCAAATTTGCTACCCCCGCCTCAAAAGTCTTCGAATACAAACAAGAAATTGAATCAGCCCTAAGAGAACTCAAGGTCCCCTTCGTTGACATAAGGGTCAACTCCAGATGGTCCAAATTTATCGTACACGGAATCCCAACAACAATCGGAGACGGCTATGAAGCAGGACAGGTCATGGCCACAGAAGTCAGAAGCAACTACGGAACCACCTTCGAAATGGCACAAATCCCCAGATGGCTAAGCAGACCTGAGGCTAGAGCAGGGAAAACGCACTCGTCAATGATCATCGCACTCCCAGGACAATATACAAAAGACAACCTCGGACTGAGATATCTTACCCTATTCGACCGGCAATGCAAAATCGACAACTACCTCCCAGCCAACCCAGAAACCCAATGCTCCAAATGCTTAGAATATGGCCACCGATACGAAAGATGCTCCCACCAAACCGGGAGATGCGGACACTGTGCAGAGGACCACCAAACAAAGGAACACCCATGCTCAGAATGCCCAGGAGGTACCAGATGCATCCATACACCCATCCGATGCTACCACTGCAAGGCCCCACACAAAGCAACAGACGCCAACTGCCCAGAACGTACCAAAGCCCGCATCATAAAGAAACTTGGACCAGACACAAACCCAAGCCCACTACCAATACCCATCGTCATCCCGGCCCAAGACCCCCCCCAAGAAGATGCAGCCATGGATAACACCCAATGAGTCACATCAAAAGAACAACGGCCATCGCACAGCAACTGAACTGTGCGAAAAACGAGCTTACAACAAAGTCAGTAGTGGAGGAAGCAGAACAGGACCACAATATACTTTTCCTTTTGTTACAAGAACCATGGAACAACAAAGACGGCCACCCACCGGAATCCTCTCTCTTTTACCTATTCACAGCCAGCAACAAGGGCACTAAAGCCGCCACATACATCAGGAAACACGCCAACCTGAAACCAAAACACCACTACACCCACAGTAATTTCATCGTCTCCGTCACGGTGGAAATCCAGAATCAGAAAACACAGATCCTCAACATATACTCACCAGGACGAAGCGGACCCTTCGCAGAAATCTCCAGACAGATAACCACCATCCAAAACTGCCTCGTCATGGGAGACTTCAACAGCCACCACCAACTCTGGTATGGGCACAGATCCCACGACTACACCAACACAATCAGAACGGACAAACCCGGATCCAGGAAAATAAAGAGATGGATCGATCGACAAAGGCTATCCCTACTTAACGAACCAGGCGAATTCACACATTTCCCCAGAAACAACAACAGACCGACCATCATTGACTTGACTTTAGTCAAAGGACCAGTACTGGACCATGACGTCCGGTGGAACATCGACCGACATGGAGCCGGATCCGACCATGGGAAAACCATCCTACAACTACAAATAGAGAAGCCCCCCACACCCCCAGGAGACTATGGCACCGAACGAATTGGGGAAAACTGGAAGAGAACATCTCAGGCCTCCAGTTCCCCCCCGAAGCATGGGAATGCCAGAACCACACAAAGCAATCGGTCGACTTCATACTCGAACATATAGATAACCTGATAGATCAGGTGACCCCATGGAGCCAAGGACACATCAAATCTAAGAAATGGTGGACCCCAGAGCTGAAAGAAATCAAATCAACCCTCAACACACTAGAAAGGAAAGCCAGAAACACCCAAAAGGACGAAGATAGGGAATCTTTCAGGAAAACCAGTAGAAGATGGACGGCAGCAATCCGAAAAGCCAAAGCGGAACAAAGGGAAAAAGAACTCACAGAGGCCAAGGGAAGTGCCATCTGGAAACTAATCAACACGGGGAAAAGAAGGGACATTACAATCCCAACTATACAAGGTGAAGAAACGTTTGCGGGGAAGTGCCAAGCTCTAAGAGCCCAACTCTTCCCCACAAATTGGACGTCCCCCAACAACCCCCCACTCCAAATCAGACCCCCATCCTTTGACCTTAGTGACGATTTCCAGGAAGTAACAACAGAAGAAATCACGTCCGCAATCAAATCATGCCCAGCACATTCGGCCACTGGCCCTGACAACATACCATATCCTTTCATACAGGCAACAATTAAGTCAAACACCCAACTCTTCCAGGACATGTTCTCAGCCATGCTCCGACATGGAGTCCAACCGGACCGATGGAAAGTGGCAAAATGCATACCAATCCCGAAACCAGGAAAATCCGACTACTCATCGGCCAAAGCCTACCGACCCATCTCCCTACTACAATGCTTTAGCAAAGTACTGGAAAAGATAGTGGCAACAAGATTATGCACTGCCGGAACCATCCTGGAAACCCTTAGTAAAGACCAATTCGGAGGCAGACCAACTATCTCAGCGATCGATGCCTTACTCCGCACGCTCACGCCCATCCAACAAAACCTCCTGATCAAGCGAACTACAGGAACTACCCCAGACAGACCAGCACTCCTCACAAACGACATACAA